CACAGCAAGGGCCGAGGTGACTGCCCAATGGAGTGGACGGCCTCAGCTGTGCCCCGAGGAGCAACAGGAGGCCAACTCTCTGTCAGCCCCTGGTATACATCCCTCCACATACTCGAAGGAAGTCCATGTGGCGCCGTGGTTACAGCACCTGGGGGCCAGTGGTTTGAACCCCCAAGCTGCTCCTTCGGAGGAAGACGAGGCCTGGATCGCTCTCGGTCTGGGGGCCCTATGGGGTTCTGCTCTGTCCTACAGGCTTGCGCTGAATACGTTTGGTTTTTGGATTCTGTCTGAAACCCTCAGCTGTGGCATTTACTTAGAAGGGGGCCTTTGCTAGGCTCCAGGCTCCAAGCCCACCCCTCCTGAATCCCAGGGCTGGGGGAGGGCACGAGGGTCTTTGTAAAACACCTGCTCCCGCGGCTCTGATACACACCCTGGGTGCTCCTGTTCTTCTCATTCGTGGCTTTTTCGGGATGACAGCTCTGAGCGACCAGTGCACTCCTGCCGACAAACGCTGAAGCACAGCTCTGAGGGGTCACCAGGGAAGTCTTGCCCAGAGTGGACAAACATCCTCCGTCATCCTTCAGACCGAGACCAGCACTCGGCTCCAGAGCGCTCCCTTAGGGCCATTGCGCTGATGACGCCTCACAGTGACCCTCAGGACAGGGTCGTTTCCGAGGGGGCACCTGTTCATGGGAGCAGAAAGCTGTCTTTCTCCCGAGGAGCCGCTGGTAGTTTCCAAGTGTGGGCCTGGTGGATTGCACCCCACACCTGACCCCTATGCAGCCAGGGCTCTAGCCAAGCAACAGAAGAGGCCTTCTAAGGTGATCGCCACCACAGGCAGGTACGGGCTCCTATGACAATGAACAGGTGAGCTCAGAAGGGTGCTGTGTGCCAGGGATAGGGCTGAGAGGTAGCACGGGACGGGAAAGGGCAGGATGAACGTAGGGAGAGTGCTGTCACCCTGTGGGGACTGCAATCACTGTCACAGAACATGCACAAGAGTTGACAGCACAGAGGCTGACTTCCAGGGGAGGAGGGATGGCTCCGTGCACACTAGGGTGGACTGAGGTATAGTTCAGACCAAAATCTCTGCCGACAAGATGACAACCAATGGCAATCAACAAGATGTTTGATTTTCGATACAAAGAGCTCAGGAAAGCCATGCTTTTTAAGGAGAAACTCCATTACCCTGACATACCACAGAGCCATCACAGACCACCTCGCCCACTGCAGAAGAAGCGAGTGAAAAAACGGGACTGTGTTTTCTCAAGTTTTCTGACTTAATTAGTATCGCTAATCTCCCAGAGTAGTGAGAATGACTACAGGCACATCGTATGAGAGGGTACCCTCTTGAAAAAAATGGATTTTTCTTTAAAAAAACAAACAAACAAAACTTCAAAGTGCTCTCCATCACACTTAATACGTTTGTCATATCTGCAATTCCATTCTTGGAAACATTTTTCAAGCTCATCTGTTTGGATGGCCGACAGCACCTCTCTCGTTTTTTTCTTCACCTCTTCTACATCATCAAATCACTGTCCTTTCATGTCCCTTTTAATTCGCAGAAACAAAGAGGAGTTGTATGGAGTGAGGTCAGGTGAGTCAGGTGTGTAGGGCAAGAGAGGCATGCTGTTTTTGGCCCAAAACTGGTGCACTGAGATGGCTGCGCCTAGCAGAGCTTTTTTTCGTTTTTTAATTATTTTTTATTTTTTTATCGACCTCATGTACCCTCACATGCTTGGAGACCCAATACTGAAGCTAACTGGAATATTCTTATTATTATTACCATGGGAAATGAGCTAGACTGCGTTGTGTTAGCTTTGGTTATCAGTTCTCTTCCTTCATTTTAAGAGCACAAATGTTTGTGTACGTTATTAATCCTGTGTTTCCTGTTTCCGTTTTCTAAACTCCCATGCTCCTCTAACCTTCCAAAGAGCCAAATGGTAAAGAAATCAGTGTTGTTTTCTGACTTTCCCTTTGCTTCTGTTCAATCTATTAATTTGTTAGCAAAGCAGGTGACATAACCCACCTTTCTTATAGATTCAGACCTTGCAATATAATGGCAGGTCATGTCATCGTTTTTAAAATCAATCATTGGCCTAATGAAAGTTTTAACTAGTTAGAGTAAAACACTTTTCAGAATTTTTAGAGACAAGTTTTCATAGAAATTCTTAGGCTTACTTCCGCCCTTCCCTTAGATCTACTCTCTCGTTGGAAGTTTTACGACAGTGAGTCATTTACTAATACACTTCAATTGAGCTTTCTGATGTGACAGTCCATGGGGAAAATTTACAGTATAATTCAATTCAATTAAGACTATGTTGAAGTCGTGAATAAAAGACACGCCCCTTCTTAAAACGCACACACGGAAAGGATATTCCATCTCGAGACTGGAAAAACTACAGTGCTCAGAAAGAGCCACAGGAGACCAAGCAAACGTGAACTCTCCGGCTCCCGTGGCGCCAACCAGGGACCACGCACGGAGGTGCTACGGTGGGTCTATGGCACCCAGCGTCCCCTAGGAGCTCCGGGCTTGCCCCTCCCACACCCCACTCCCCCTTGGGTGTTCCGGGCCCCAAGGAAAACCGGGCAAAGATGTAAAATGGGGATCTTACACTGATAATACAAGACATCAATTTCTGGGAATGCTATCAAGACCACTCATTTTTCACTGTAGGAAAGAAATCCAAATTTTGTTCTTAGAATTACAAGTTGAAGTCATAATCGAATGTCGTTTTAAGGCATTTTCTGATTGTATTCCATGGCAAAACAAAACAAAACAAAACAACTAAGCATACACGAAGGTGGGGATATTTACTTGGAAGATGAGACATTCTGGGAAGCCAGATGCTGAGAGACCAGCCACGCTGGAGGATCTGGCTTTGGGGCAGAAAGACGGAGGTTTCGGGTTGTGTCATCAGCTACGAAAGGCTTTTGCATACCTCACATACAAACGGAAATGAAACTCCCTGCTGCTGCCCAGGTGAGTCCAACGCAGAGCGACCCCCACGGAACAGTGTTCCCGAGGCTGTTCCGCTCACGGAAGCCGGCGGTCACCTTTCTCGCCAATTGACAGCTCAGAAGTGAGACGAGAGGACTAGGGTGGGTGAATGCAATGAGCATCCCAGGTGAGAAGCCATATCCAAACAGAAGCCCACACCAGGTCCCTGCTGCAAGGGACGTGCCCGGTTTTAAGAATTTTGCCATCCAGGGATGCCCAGAGAGCCATGGCTTCCCACCAAGTCTGAGGCGTTCACTTCACTGACAGTGCTCCCAGGCCAGTCTCAGTTTACTAATCACATGCATTTTTATAGAGCAGTGTTGCCTGGTAGCACAGCTGACTTTCCATCTGCATCAGATTTTCAGGAGACTGGGCTAGCAGCAACTTCATCCAAGGCCAATTTCTCATGGAAAAGGGGAAAGGGTCTTAGTGAGCCTTCACTCAAAAACATGACTCAAATTCAGTGCAGTAATTCACAAAATGGCACCAGCCAGGTGAAACAGGCGTGAATGCGAGCAAATCCAGGATGAGCGTGGTCACAGGTGGGTTTGAGAAGTGGATGACTGGACTCTAAAGTTGCTTCATAAAGAAAAATGGTTTCTTTAAGGGAGTAGAAAGCCCCGGTCTTTTTCCTCGGAGTGGCTGTTGGTTTAGAACTGCTCGCCGTGCAGTTAGCAGCCCAATCGTTAAAAATTGGTTTCTTCTGGCCATGAATACCCTTCAGACTACAGTTCAGAATCGGCAGGAGGAAGGCACGGGGAAGGGCTCAGTCCACCCTGTCGGGGAGCTGTGCTGTGAGAGCTGGACTCCTCATTGCCCCAAGAGAAGACCCCTGGGACCGGTGACTTCCCCAGTGTCTTTCAGCGCTCTCCTCTCTTTCCCAACCAGATCTCCAACCAGGGAGGCCTGGATCCTACAAGAGACACGGAGAGAGCTGGCAATAGGTCTCCCTGGGCAACCTGTTGTTCTCTGATCTCATGAGCAGGAAGAATTCTCAGCTGTAAAAGGAAGAGCTTATTGCTTTACCAGTGAAACTCAGTCCACCAGGACATGGGCTAGAAAAGACAGGCGTGAGAAGCAGCTTGAGGACGGCCCTGTGGATCCTACATACGTACAAAGCTCTGCCTGCTGTCCTGGTTCACGATGGTGAGCGTGTCCAGAAAAGTGCTCCTCCTTCTAAGAAACAGGCATGTCCCTCTGAAAGCGGTTTCGGTTTCGGCTTTCGTGTCCTGGTGACACACACAAGGACGCGAGCGCCCAATTCTGCTCGTGAAACTGGCGCTGATACTAACTCAGATAAACAGTGAGAATGCCTTCAATCTGACGCACCGCCATCTACTGCTGCCCCGCAAAAACAGCTGTCACCCTCCGGGGCATCTTACCCCCACCCCCTTCATCCCTTCTGCCCAGCCTCTTTCTCTCTCAGTACTGAAGACACCCAGCAGGTAGGCTTATCCAATGAATTACCATTTAATTCCACTGTCCAGGAACGTCTCTAAGTCCCCACAGATTCACAGGAGCCTAGAGAATGCTTGCTGGGGGGTAGTGGTCAGCCCAAGAAGTCCTATTTAAAGAGACGGACTGACCTTAGGGCCCTCTCAGGCACATGGCCGTCTGATTGGGATGCGTTTCACATCTAGAAAGCAGGAGGCACGAAATGCAAAGAAAAGGCGACCGTTCTGAAAACAAGAGTCTCTAGACGGAAATGGCCACCAGGAAAATGTCCAGCAAACCCTCTCGGCAGCCCACTGGGGAGGGCGGCGCTTCCCAAAGGTTGCTTTCCCGGGCGCTTCTGAAGCCCCTTCATACAAACTGTGGTGTTTTTGGAAAGCACTTTGCAAACCTGTGTTGAGTCTTGAAAACAATGATAAGCCCCGATAAGTAAACTTCCAGTTCGAAGACTCTCTTTCAAACCAAACCAAACCCTAAGACATACGAGGCAAGATGTGTTCACACATTCTTAAGTAATCACGAATATGAAATACTAGGGGGAAAAGCAACAGCAGTGGCTAAGTGTATCACAGGATAGCCACAAGTTATACAGATATTTAAAACGGAAGATTTTCAAAGAGTTGACGATACACAGAAAAATTATAGATGATCTAATAATACTAAGTAAAAGTGACAAGACATAACTACAAAACAGAACGATTTCAATTCTATGAAGTACGCTTGCATACCACACACACACAACTGTTACAGCAGAACACTTAATGCTGAAGGAGAACACCTCTGACCGCCATCATTCTAGCAGAGTTTGTTAAACTGAACTTCCGCACTAACCCTATCCCTACATATACTCACCAGATCAATATTTTGCATGATATCCTGAAAGGAGGGGTGAGTCCGGAATTGTTCAAAGAGGTCTCGCTTGTAAAGCAGTGCGTACACCAGGTTAGGGTTGTGGTGCAGGGAAGTTGTCAGGCAGGAATTGATGATCTCTAACATCATCCGAATCACTTCTTCGATGACGTTCAGGTCTTGCGCCTTAGAAAGGAAGCAGAGCCCCACACAGAATGATTACAATGAGAGCGATTCTTTAAAAATAGTTAAGGATGCAAAAGAAATAGAAGAGTTAAGTCAC